CTTGAACCCTAGCCATTTGCTTTAAAAATTAAAAAATTTGCCATCTAACTACTATATTCAAATATATTATGTTATAAAATATATTATATATAGTATTTATATGACCTATAGTATATATATATGTATATACCACGTCATCACGATTCGGCCCCAATTGAACCTCTAACCATGAATCTTTCCCTTCTCCAGTTCTATGCCTGATTTAGTTTTCTAAACATTGATGAGGAATACTGAATACAAAGCCATTTTTTTGATAAGCAGAAATACAAAGCCATTGAGTCATCTGGTTTGTTCTAACAAATAGAAAATCACCATTAACAACTGACCATTGGAAATGCCCTCCAAATCTACAAAGCAGCATCAATATTGATTTTTAAAGAGCCCAAGGTGGAGCTTGCCATTGAGTATGCATGGGACGTTCAGTAGTAGAAGTGATATATTCTCACTCTCCCAAGCCCGTGTAGGATATGGTCTAAACGAGTATGTGCTTGCATGATATATTCTCAGTCTCCCGAGCCCGTGTAGGATATGGTCTAAACGAGTATGTGCTTGAATGATTATTTTCATTGGATTAAATATTTATTTTTTAAAAAAGTAATCATTTCGCGCAAACCAAATGGTTTGTATGAGAAGGCTCCCCCGTAATAACAACCAACCATCCTCCTTGTTAGCATTTTCTTCATCCCTACACCATAAATCAATAGAGTTTGCCACATCTGAAAATCCATAATGTACAGGATAGAACTGCAGACAAGAACCATACCAAATTGGTTGTTTATAAGGATTATAAAGTCGAATTGGACTGTTCTCGGGTCTCGGGCCAAACGGTCCGACTGTTCAAACAAAATGGATAGCCTGTTTTAACAAAAAAAAAAAAAAAAACGATTCTAGAGTAAAACAGAACTGGTCACCCCAGGGCAGAGCTAGGATTTTATGTTAGGGGGGTCAAATACTTGTGAACATAGAGTAGGGGGGCAAAAGTTAATAAAATAAGGATAAAAGGTTAAAGTATAAGTAAATCATCAATAGGTTTTGTGGGGGTTTTCAAAGCACAGGGGGGGCCATGGCTCCCCTCTGCCACCCCCTGCCTCCATCCTTGTGATCATCTGACCGGTTCTCAATTTTTCTAATACGACCGTCTGATTTGATCCATTTTTAAAAACTATGGTTGTATAGGAAGAGACTAAATCACCAACATTTTCACATATATATTAAGCAATTAGTAGATTCAAGTTCCATGAATGACTGTAGATTGGTTCTAGTAGGTAAGATATTTTGGACACATTTCCAAGGAAAGCATTTGGCAGACGAGGGAATCAACTTCAATTTCCATAGATGGCGCCATTGCATATCTCCATGTAGTAAACTGGATGTGGATCGGAACCACTAGGTTTGTAAAATTGAAATAATTTAATACATGAAATAGGTTGTAAAATTACTGAACAGATAACCCATTGCAGCTAATCTTTCTAGTTTTTAATTTAAAAGTTTTCATTTCACCATTTTACTTTTACACTTGCAGATCTAGCAGAACCACGTAAAATAATATACCTCATATCATACCTAACAATTAGACGTCACTAACTTCGTCGTTTTCTCTGTCTGGGTTTCCCTTTCTTGTTTTGTTTTCGGTATATAGAAGTTTTGATGCTTGACAAAACCTCTCTCCCTTTCTCTCCGTCGTTAAAGTTTTTTTATTCAATTTTAATTCTTAAACTTTGTATTTGTTTATTTAATGAGTATTTTTGGTAGAAGTTGTGATACTTGACGAAACCCTTCTCTCTCTCTCTCCGTCATCATTAAAGTTTCTTATTTTTTATACAATTTTAATTCTTAAACTTTGTATTTGTTTATTTAATGAGAACACCTTTAAATAATCCAATTTGCATGCTTGAACAGTTTTTCCCTTCTTTCTTCACCATATATTCATTGTTAATCGATTTGTTCTTCGTTTTAATTAATAAACTCCATTACTTCTTATTATAGTACCAACTAGAAGAGACCCATGCTTGCGAAGCACAGGTTGGGTGAGTTTAAGAGCTTCATATTTAATATTTTATTTTTAAAATTAAAAATAAAACTATAAAATTCTAAAGAGGTTGAAAAGCAATTATAATCTACGTGGACAACTGCATTTTACAATTAATGTGATATAGAGTGGGTCTTATTCAGATCCTTCACAAGCATAAAACAATGCCACCATTAATGGGTGACTGATGTATGTTCTGATTGGACTGCAACAACTATAATCAAAGATATTATAATGTTAGAGGAGTTTACCAGAATTAGAAAATATTTATTTTTATTCCTAGATTTGAATTAATGGATTAATTGGGGCCCTCCAAACAGAATCAGTTTTGAACATGGTCTTACATAGAGCTTTCTTTCATATAAAATGATTTCAGTTAATAGACCCTTTCACATGATTTGTAGACAATTAGTAGTCTATTCCATCTCCATCGATCTGAACTTTTTTTAATAACTTCAAGCATTTCATGTGCATATAATGGATGTTCTTTCTCTATCACCTTCTAAGTAGGTGAACCATCATGTGTCCCACTATATTGTTTTCCACAAAAAGAAGGATAATTTTTTTTTTCTTTTAAGCAGTTGATCACCCTCCACTCACTTAATTTCTTTCATCTGATTTTATTATTATTTTTTATTTTTCTCTTTTGTTTTTATTACTATTATTATTCATTATTCATTATTCATTTTTGTTTTTATTTTTTATTGTTGTTGTTGTTATTTGTTTCATGATTCTATACAATTAAGCCATGACTGATGAGGTATATTTCAAATTGAGATTTGTTCCTCACACCAGCCTCACAGTCACATCTCATCAGAAACAACACCCAGCTTCCATAAATAATAATATACAAGTATGAGAGATGTTCCCAATATGCAACTGAGACATATTTTGAAGTTGGTGTGAAGAGTGCAATGTGAGGAACAGATCTGAACTCCATTTCACACTTATAGCTCGTGGCTGATATCGTTGGATTAGAATATATCATTGTTTTACCAGTACATTGATATCAACCCAAATGGATGCTTATATTTTATTAAGAGGAATCTTACATAAGGTGCTAGTAGTGACTAAAAAGTGGTAGTAATACATGCAAGCATCAACATAATGATCTTATTGACAAAATAAAATAATACTTTTATATAAATAAGAAGAATATATTTAAAAATATTTATTTATTATTCAATCCTTTATTCAAATGCTAAATATGGAGTTTTGTGTTTGGTTAATTTGATAGAAAATAAGAAAGAAACAAAAGCCGAGGGAAAGATTTTAACAATATAAAATTCTTTAATTTTTTTTTTCAAATCTCGACTCTAAATGGTGGCATTTGACAAGTTTGGAAGACAAAAAAATTGGTCTCTTTCCATTTATTAACCAAAAGATGGAAGGACTGGTAGGCATGTGCATTGAAAAACCCAAAAAGACCAAAAACAAAATAAAAAATACAATAAAAAAGAAAATTAAGAAAATACAGCAAAACTATAGAAAACTATAAAGAAAAATGAAGAAAATACAAAAGCTAGCAAGAAAAATGTAAAAGAATATATAACTTTAAACAGGTATTTTCATAATTTTATCTTTAACATTAAGGCCATTAACGGAGATTAACTAAGGTCGCATTTGAATGCGGTGTAAAAGCAAAATTACACCCATGAAAATCGATTTAAAGTTATAAACTGTTATAAATTGGAAAGTATAATTATCAGTATAAATATTTGCATGGCTTTTATCAAAATTTTATTTACATCGATTATTAATATAAAGCAGAAAATAAATAAAGTTTTACATTGATTTTAGATATTTAGGCTGAGTTTGGAAAGGATGTGAATAAGTGTGAATGTAAATATGAAGAGTGTAACACGTGTCCATATAAATTATAAAGTTGGGTTAGTTTTGTACCAACAAATTTATTTTCTTACCAAATAGATTTTTAGCTGTAATGGATGCAAATATGAATTTCAATAAAACATATGCCTTTTTTTTATCAAAAGCCCATTTGAATGCAAATAGACCTGTTCACAGGCGGGACTTTGGGCCTGACTTACATTGTGTTAGGCTCAGGCTTCAGGCCAGGCCCTATTCAAAATTTGGCAAAAGCCAAGCCCGAGCCCGACCCATGAATAAACGCAAATTTAATTCTATCATTTGTCAATGCATAAATGTAATGTTTCCAAAACAGGCAAAAGTGAACCAGAATGCAAATTTACCCTAAACCGGGATTTATACTCCATTTACATCATTTTCAAATGCAGCTTTAACTACAATCCATATTTACAACACAAACAAGCGTACAGTAATGAAATCAAAAGTGCAAATGTGTCTTTTTGACAGAATGAAAGTCATTAGAGCTAAGAATCACTATCCCAAATTTCAGGCCTTCAGGGTGGTAATGATTAGACTTGTTCATGGGTCGGGTAGCTCGATGGGCCGGTCCGGCCCGACCCGATCTAAGTCGGGCTTGGACAAGATTCAGGCTCGAGCTTGAGCCTAAAATATCGCACCCAAATTTTTTCAAGTTAGGCTCAGGCTTTCTCAAAAAAGCTCGGCCCGAGCTCGGGCCCGACTTAATAATATATTATATTAATAAAAATATATTTTATAATAAAAAAGTATATATAATATATTTTTCTTGAGACTTTTTATTATTTTTTTAGGTTTTGAGGTTTTTTAATATAAATAAAACAGGTTTTAATTAAATTAAAAAGAAAAATATCTTTTTTTCTAAATTTCTAACCGGGCTCGGGTTCGGGCCCAGGCTCGGGCTCCTGAACATATTTTGTTAACGTAGAGGAAAAACCCGGCCCGGCCCGCCCGTGAACAGGTCCAGTAATGATGTAATTGATGCTTTTTTGAGGGGTATATAGATAATTATCAAAATATTAGTTAGAGAAGGAAAAAATTATACAAAAAATTTACGTTACCAAGGAAAAGACTATAAAAGCAGCCCAAAAGGTATGAACAAGGAAGAGAGGTACCAGAGATCACAGTTCGCCTGGTTTTTCACGTCTCTTCTCTCGCTTTTCTTCTCTTCTATTCATACATTTAACTCATCTGATCTGCTTTATAATCGTAAAAAATCTGCTAAAATATCATAAAAAGTCTAGATATTTAGCTTTGATTTCATGAGAAAGATCAGATATTTTCGGTAGAATAAGCCGATTCCCGGCGTGATTCGTCGAATTAAGGCGAGGGTTCCCGACGATCAAAGATCGGTGCGTTCGTAGCTGTGTTTATCCGCATGAGCTGGTTCGTGAAACTGGGGATTTCTTCGAATTCAAGTCACTTCATTACCTGTCTCTTGATTTTTATCCTCCATTATTCGCCTCAGTTGCCTCCTGCCTTGTTTAAATTTGAGAAGCCATTGGAGCCTAGGTTAAATCCAGAACGATCTTTACAATATGGAATCCGACAATCAGAGTAATCGCCAATTGAGAAGAGGTTGGTTCGAATTTTTTATTTTATTTTCTCGATTTAATCTACATGATTGTGATTATGTTCTGTTTTCCGGTGGAGCCTCTGTTCTTTTTTCTGCTTTCTTGGTTTGCTTTGATACTCAGTACCTGATTGTTCTTAAAAATCTTGCTTTGATCTTTGATTTCCTTCCCTCTTCCTTTTCTTCTTCTCCTCTCAAAATCGAAACATGCAATTTGACACGCAACGCAATACTGCTATAATGCTATTTGACAGCGTCTGAACTGCTTTTTGCTTGTTTCATGGTTGATTCCTTCTTCAGCATACATGCATATAGATATAAGTGCTCATACGATGTATATAATTATAGACATTTTGGATGTGCATTGCATGCACATGCTGTAGCTTTATTTACTATGTAAAAGTAAATACATACATAAATGGCATACTTACATGTCATTATTCATCCATACACACACATGTGCGACATGCATTATCGTACTCTCATGCAGTCATGCTTTAGACATGAATAGATTCCGGGGTTAATAACACGCTGTACTTTCAACAAGCGTAGTTGGAACCTTTAGAAGACGACAATGGCTTTTTTGCGAACACTGACAACATTGCTTTGTTGGATTCCACACACCTACACGCACTTGAGAAAAATAATAATAAAAAACGTAGAAAATTTAAGTTGCTTTTTAGTTTTCTTTGAACTTCCTGCACTACTCTGTATCTCATTCAATAGTAGGGTATCCTTATTCAAGCATATTCATTCTTGATTCTAAAAGTTTTGATGGTATCTTGATCTGTGGCTGCGGGTTATGGAGCTTGCGTACACCTTGTTGCCTTGTTGAAGGTTGACGTTGAATACTTTGATCCTTGGATCGTTCATGTGTATGGTCTTCCTGCCCACATCAAGATTCAAGAACATGTCACTTAGTGCATTAAAAACATGCAGAGGTAGTAGTTTTTCCATGTGGAGGGATGACTCAGAATACCACAAGCGACCATATATTATCTTTTTCTGCCAGTCACGTATATGGTTTCCTTGGTCACATTACCCGCATGTCCACCAAATTTTAGTGTATATATCATGTCTTTACACCTTGTCTAGCTTTGCCCATTCTATTTTCTGTAGAATAGCTGCGTTTGATCTTCCCTTACAAAAACTAGCCCTTGATGGTTATGAATTCTTTTAATGGAAATGAGGGTTAAGATAGTTCCCTTGTGGCGGGGAATAATGGATTGACACTTGTCAACCTTGCCAACCCTGCCTAATAAAAGAACCTGGGCTATATGGAAATACATTTTCATATTTAATTGTTTGGAAAAACGTGTCGTAGCATTAATGATCCCAAGAAGGTAATGTTGTTTTCATATCTGCTATAAATATTTTCAGTATTCTTAACTCATAATCATCATCATCATTTAAGCCTTATCCCAACTATAAGGGGTTGGCAGTCGGCTACACAAATCCTGTTTTGCTAGTCCATTCTGTTTGATGTCATATCCATTGTTAATTTTTTTGGTGCTTAAATCATTTCTTACTACTACCCGGTTCCTTTTTGGTCTATCCTCTGTCCTTTTAGTTCCCTCAACTTGTAACAAATCAAATCTTCTTACAGATGTTGTGGATAGTCTTCTATACACATGACCAAACCATCTTAGTCTATTTCTCTCATTTTATCACCTATTGGAGTTAACTCTCAAGTTCCTATGAATGACTTCATTTTTAATCCTATCCTTCCTAACTTTTACATCCATCCATCTCAGCATACACATTTCTACCAATCCCATTTTTTGGACATGTTTCTTAAGTGCCTAACACTTGCATACAACATAATTGGCCTTACAATTGTTTTATAGAATTTTCCTTTTAATCTAAGTGGTCTTCACCTATCACATAAAACTGCAGATGCACCCCTCCATTTTGCTCATCTTGCTCTAATTCTATTGGTTATTCCTCCTCAATTTCTCTCTTGTTATAAATTATTGAACCAAGGTATTGAAAAAGGTCACATTGAGTTATCTATTGGTCTTCTATCTCAAGTGTACCCTGATTTGTACTCCTTGTTCTCAAATTTACATGTCATATATTTTATTTTAGTCCTATTTAAAACTTCTTGTTTCTATGTTGTAAAGAGACTAGGCCGAATGGGCCCTAGTATCTTCTCTTGTAATAGCTTTTCTTTTATTGTTGGCTAATGGGCCTCTCTTAATGGGTCTGTTATTTCTTTTTTGTTTAATCTCTTTATGTTACTGCCTAGCTGGCCGCCCTCTTAAGGGTATACTCGTCATTACTCTAACTTTAATTCTTAATAAAAAAGGGTTAGAGGAGACAGGAGAGAGGATTCRATTTCTTCTTCTTCTTCCTTCTCTTTTCGCCATCTTCTTCTCTTGTATTGCTCTCTTACTTCTCTTCTTCTTTTTTCTTCTAATCTTCAAATTTACACCTAATATTTGAGGACTGATTTGCATCTTATGTCATTTGTCCATTAGTTTAATTTTGCATTTAATCCTTTGTTGGTTTAATCAATTAAAATGATGTCATCAGAAAACAGCATGCACCATGGGACTTTTTCCTAATTATGTTTAGTCACTATATCCATGATTAGTGCAAATAAATAAGGGCTAAGTTTTTTTATAAAAATTTTCTTTACGTTTGGAATTTTTTAGACTAATCCTTCTAAGTTTTCCCAAAATTGTCTTTTGATGTTTTCTTCTAAACCCACGTGTGGTGCATAAGCACTAATTTTATGTTAGTTATTTATTTACCTAGAAAAAGCCTAATTAAAATTATTATATCTCCAATTCTTCTAACATTTACAATTCCATTTTTTAGATCCTTATCTCTACTATTATTGCTACTCCGTTTCTATTATTTACTTCTCCTTTGTACCATAATTTGTAGCCATCAATTTCTTTAGTTTTTTTGTCCTTCCATTTAGTTTCTTGTAAGTATGCAATATTAACCATTGTTCTCTTTATACTGTCTATCAATTCCCTAGTCTTTTTTATTAATGTTTCTACATTCTAAGTAACTGAACGAAGTTGTGTCTCTTGGGTTAGCTTTTAACCCACCTTCACCCAAAAGGATGCATGAACCCTTGTCTATTTAACACTACAGCTAGGCATTGTTCTGGTGGGTCACTTGGGGGCACCATTCTACCAAACCCTTGCCCATTTGACACTACACTTGGGTTAGGATGCAATGTGTCATTTCAAGACAACACCCTAACATAAGCACGAAAAGACAAATCAGGATCCATGTTCACGAGAGTTTGGCAAAAGTTTTAGTTCCAGCTGCCAAATGATGCAACCCTCCTCCTTTTTCTAGGCTTGGGACTGAGCATGAGGGTCCAATTTCTGCTCATGCATAGCCAGGCTGGGATTCAGGCTTAGCCAGCCCAGTGTCAGGGTACTCCAAAATCAACCTGATTTAGTAAACTGCCTATCAGATATGTATATGTCCGAAAGGCACATCAGCTAGGCACATCTCATGCAATAACTGAAGCATGCAGTGAGGTGATTCTAACTGATGTATTGAGAAGTTATAAGTAGCCGTATCCAGATTTGAAATAACAAAATAAAGCATCAGAACTTCCCCTCTTTCCCTCTTTCCTTCATTTTCTTACCCACTTCTTTTATCTTCTCTGTAATTCTTCCATTTCAGGATGTTTGGGCCCCCTTGAAGCAGCTCCAGTTTGTATTTCCGTTATTGAATCCATTGTTGGTGCTTATCAAGCTCACACTAGCAGATTTATTTTCAGTATTCTTAATTGCATGATATTATTCGGAATTCTAAACAATGAGTTGCTGAGATAACTCTTTATGGTTGTAGGTTCATTTTTAGTTATCTTTTTCTAGTAAAATCACTTGAGAAATGAGAACAAAGTTTCTGTAGATTTTAAGGTTTTAACCAATTATAGTGTCTACAATTTAACCAGTAACTTGCTAAATTGCGTAAATTTTACATTAATTCCTTTTCTAACATCAGTATGCAATGCCTACTATTGATCTTTTTCACTGTCATAATAATGTGCCATGATAGTTAATTGGACTTGTAGGTGTTAGAGTAACTTTGCTTTCAAGTATTTGAAATAAAAAGAAGGGTCTACTATCATGGAACAATTCTGTTTAAAATTCTAAAGCTTCTTTCATGAGTTGGTTTTAGTAGTAAAAGATAATAATCATAACTTGAGATTACCTAGGTGTCTTCCAGCTAATGTGTATCTCCAACTATGTACACTTTTCATCCAGGAGAATTGGGAACTCAAACTACCATGCGTATGATGAACAATGGCATATGTTTTCTAATTCCTTTCTGATTGTCAGACTGTTTGATCATGTAAAAGTCGAAAATTCTTTTGCCTAGTATTTCTACAAATCTAAGTTCAACTGTCCATATTCTTACAGCTGCTTGCAATTCAAATACTGGGAGAGGGCGACCCAATTCGCCCTCAGTCATCATTATAGGTGGTGGCTTTGCTGGAATTGCAGCTGCTCGTGCTCTCCATGATGCCTCTTTCCAAGTAAGAGCTGTCCCCTTGCTTTATCTATATCACACTACTATTTTGTTTCAATGTACTCGCATGGGTATGTTACTACTATGATTACAGATATGCGTAGATATTGTTCCTTTTCTTACCAACCTGATCCAACTTTTCTGACAGGTTGTCGTGTTGGAATCACGGGATAGAATTGGAGGTCGAATTTATACTGACTATTCATTTGGTTTTCCCATTGATTTGGGTGCATCATGGTATACTTCTCTCTCCTTCCCTTAAATGGTGCTTACTCACTATGACCTAATGATCTACACAACTTTTTTTCTGTAAAATGTGGATATCGCCTGACAGGATATTGAACTTTGCACCATTGGTCATTATGCTCCAGGTTGCATGGAGTTTGCAAAGAGAATCCTTTGGCACCTGTGATTGGAAGACTGGGACTACCCCTTTATCGTACTAGTGGAGATAATTCTGTGTTGTATGACCATGATCTGGAAAGGTAATACATCAGCTTTACTTTGGTTTCTGTTGGTTTGTTCTCCTTCCTAGCCTTTATCTTTTTAACTTGCATGCAAATGAGCTAGAACCATGGTAGAGGCCCTAAAGTTTGTATGAGTGTTTATTCATAACAAAGGAGAAGTTAAGAAGTCTTCTGTGAGAAGCAAATACCATTTATGTTAGAAGGAAAATTCTATAAAGCAGTTGTAAGGTCAACATTGCTGTATGGAGCTGAGTGTTGGGAAATCAAGAGACAATATGTCAAAAAAAAAAGGTGTGGTAGAAATGTATGAGTGGAAAAACTAGAATAGATAGGGCCAAAAATGAAGTCATTTGAAGGAACCTAGGAGTAGCTCCAATAGGGTGATAAAATGAGAAAAGGTAGATTAAATCACTAAAATGTTTTCGTTAGGTGCATAGAAGACCATCTACAGCACTTGTAAGAAGAAACAATTTGTTGCAAGTTGAAGGGGATAGAAGTGCTTGGGGCAGACCAAAAAAGACTATGGGTTGAAATATTAAGAAATGATGTAAGCACTCGTAATTTAGTGATGGATATGGCACTAAACACAATGGAATGGAAAACAGGAGTCATATAGCCAACCCCATATAGTTTGGAGTTGGGAAGGCTATGATGATGATGATCCATCTAGTAAATGAAAATGATGGTTGGAGTCTGTATGATCTGGTTAGGATCCACAGTCATGCCTACAATTGGTTGATGCTTTGTTGAAACATTGTCTACTGTCATGTGTTAGGCACTCTGCACATTTCCATCTGGTGGATGGTTTAAATTTCATGCTGTGCTATGATAAAAGGTAGCACTAAGATGCTGATGGATGGGATGGATCCTAACTGATGTTGTTTGTCTATTTATTTCATTCTGCAGCTATGCACTCTTTGATACAGATGGAAATCAAGTTCCTCAAGAACTGGTCACAAAGGTTGGCGAGACATTTGAGAGCATTTTAAAAGAGGTACTTCTTCTGTGCATGTGTTTGTGTATAAGAAAAGAGAAGATACTTGTATCACTCTCTGGAGCAGATACAAACTTTCTAACAATGACAACCTTTTCTGGAAGCCTGAAATATGAAAACGTTTATAAAGGTACTTTTATCATCTTCTGGCACTGATACAGTGTCCCGAAGGTGGCAACCTTTTCTCCTCTGGAAGCCTGAACATAAGTATTTCTCCCACAGCTTATTTTTTATATCACAAGCTGCTTCAATTTTCTTTTATGATGAACATGCAAGTTAGAAATTAAAGACAGATTTTATATGATAAATTTATTATAATAGACGTTTATTTTAGTCTCTTTCCTGGGGTGTTTTTTACCATCACTTAAGCTGCTAATGCATTATTGCTTTTATGTGATTGGTTATTTTCTTAAGGTTTGTACATTTGATGATTCCAGACAGGTAAAGTCAGGAAGGAGCATAGTGAAGACATGTCTATACTCTGTGCGTTTTCAATTGTTTTTGAAAGACGATCAGATCTAAGGTTTTATTGATATAATAACCAATTGTCCATTGGCTATAAGACATCTACTTTTCTTTGTAATTAAGAACATCCATGGAATTCTTTTGCAGGCTAGAAGGGCTTTCATATAAGGTATTGCAGTGGTACTTATGCAGAATGGAAGGTTGGTTTGCTGCTGATGCAGATACAATCTCACTTAGATGTTGGGATCAGGCAAGTCTTCTATGGACCGTGATAGTTTATAAGAATAATAACTTTATGCAGATTGTCTGCTTGGTTGATTGCTCTTAGCAGTCACCATTATGATAATTAGGCATATCACATAAAATCCTTATCCGGCATTGTATTTAATTATATTATCTAATTAATAATGAGTGTAAAATTGTTAGTTAAAAAATGAATTATGTAACTAATATAAAATGGCCTAATTATAATCAAGTATAGTACTATATTGAAATGTTAAATTTTTTACTGTGTAATAAATATAATTAAATTCGCATAAGTAAAGATGTTTGGCAGTTCAGGTATTCCTGAGGGTGAGTAGAAGGAAGTAGAGGAGAGAGACAAGATAAAAATGTTAAAAGCTACTACAGTTTTAGTAGTACAATATTTATGATATTTTTAGATTTAGTACTTATTAAATTCTAATTTCCTAAGGGACGGCTTGCTTTGACAATCCACAATATGTGGGTGTCACCTAGATGACTTGTCTATAGTGTTATTTGCAAAGATGTTTCATAGTCACGAACTGATGGTGGCTTAGTTGGTAAGTTCTCTGATTTGTTGTAGCAGAGGCTTGGGATCAAATCTCACTGTAACCAAGGTTGGGTGGTGTTATGGGTATGGGGGATAGGCTACCCCCCATTGTGTAGCCTATGAAACAGAACCAAAAAAAAAGAAGGATGTTTCGTGGCCAGAAATTTTGTGCTAAAAGCCTTTGGGAAAGAAAGAATATTATAATGCTTTGTTTTTGTCCCTCAAATTCTCATTATTTTTTATGCAAAATACAACTGTGTTTCATAGGCTACACCCTCATTGTGTAGTGTAGCCTATGAAACAGAAAAGAAAGAAGGATGTTTCGTGGCCAGAAATTTTGTGCTAAAAGCCTTTGGGAAAGAAAGAAAGAATACTATAATGCTTTGTTTTTGTCCCTCGAGTTCTTTTGTTTTTTTATGCAAAATACAACTGTCTGTATTTTTCTCCTTTAGATATATATTGTGCTTTATACCTACTGCTGTCTACATGTAGAGAACTTGGTTTTATTTTAAAATTTCCCTTATCTTATGCAAGGTTCAGAGTGCTGATACACCCTGACACGCGGAAGCAGTGTCCCAGTACTTCGAACTCCACGCTTGATATTATTTTCACTGTTTTCAAAACCTTTTCAGAGGGGTTGATCTAAGGCCTGCCTACCCCCTGAAATGGGTTTTGACCCCAAAAGACCTGAATTTTGCATATTGACAGGTCACTGATATGATACAATACGCCTGATATGGGGCGTATCGTGTCAAAATTCTGAACCTTGATCTTATGTAGAACTGAAATATTCCTATGCTATTGAGCAGGAGTTTCTAATTTAATAGGACAGATTCCATTTCAATCCACTGATGAAACACAATATGGGGTTTCTTGGAACAGAATAAATCAGCATCATCTTAATAGAACAGAATGGTGAAACAGGATTCATATAGCTGGCCCCATATGGTGGGGACAAGGCTTATGATGATGAGGATGATGATGATGACGATGATGTTTGTGTGAAAAGGCACATGGTACTTGCCTTATTGGTCAAAGATCATACTATTGGCTAGAAATGTGCAAGACCAAGAGGCAGGTAGGAGACACCTATATTTCAGGAGTATCTGTTTGCTTTTGACTTGTACCATACTGTATCTATGAGGATTTTGTCCACTTGAGACCCCTGCCTCAGAAAAGAAGCCTTGGTAGAGAAATGATATGGACTTTGTTCTTACAAACTATTCTCCTTTCATGTTTTCCTTTTCCTATGGGTTCGTTTGGTTCGCAATCAGAATTGGAATCAAAATCCTCCGTAATCGGAAGCGGAATGGTCCATTTCCATAGTCTGTTTGGTTCAGACAGGAATGGGAATGAGAATTGAAATCAGCAGGAATGGGATTTCATTCCCAAGGGAGGGGCAGGGAATGGCCATTCCCTCAAATGGGGGAATGCCGTTCCAGCAGGAACGGGAATGGGATTCCGATTCCATCCAACCAAACGGTTGGAATCGGAATAGCCCATTCTGTTTCCGATTCCAGACCCCTATTCCCACGAACCAAACGGGGCCTATGTACTTTATTTTAAAAGGTTGACATATCATATGATCACATGAAAACCAACTTTGAGGTCAGTACTTGATAGAACTTGTTAGATTGACTCGTCTTATGCTAATTCCATAAAGAATGTCCTGAAGTTAAACTCCAAGAAAGAAAAACAGAAAAGTAATAAATATATATTAGAAGGCTTCCTGAACTATAAGATTAACTAGAAAATGCACGGAGTGAAAAAATACATACAAGATTCATTGATGCCTTTCATCATCTTATGAATCAAGTTTGCTGTTACTGTTACAATATAGGTTGTCTTGCATCTTGTGAGTTGATTTTATTCCTCTAACCAATTTCACTCAAAACTGTCTTTCAAGATTATTGTTGGCTCTTTGAATGACAGACTAAGCTATTTGGGTTTTTCTTTCTGAAAGTAAGCACTACTTAGGTCCATACTGTTGAATGGTTCTTGGGAATTAGATCGTGGAGACCACTCAATGGGTGTGGACCCTAAGGAGTACGTTACTCGAGAGAACTCTTCAAATTTTGATGACGGTTCAATTGCACATTTGAGTTGACTTTTTTTTTACCTTTCATACAGGAAGAACTACTTCCTGGTGGTCATGGACTTATGGTCCGGGGTTATCTTCCAGTTATAAACACCTTGGCAAAAGGACTTGATATCTGTTTGGGCCACAGGTATGAGTTGATTAATCGATTTAATGGTTTTGTGCTTTTTGGTTTATACTCTGCTGATGGTTTCTTCTAGCTGGCATTTTCTTATCCATGTCTTTTCTCTCAGGGTTACAAGAATTGCTCGACATTATAATGGGGTCAAAGTCACAGTTGAAGATGGTAGGACATTTGTAGCAGATGCAGCTGTTGTTGCTGTTCCCCTTGGTGTTCTGAAAGCCAATGCCATAGAGTTTGAACCAAGCTTACCAGAGTGGAAAGAGGAAGCCATAGCAGGTCTTGGAATTGGCATAGAGAACAAGATAGTTTTGCACTTTGACAAGATCTTCTGGCCAAATGTTGAGTTCTTGGGAGTAGTCGCTTCTACTACTTACGGATGCAGCTACTTCCTAAACCTTCACAAGGCAACAGGTCATCCTGTTCTTGTTTATATGCCTGCAGGACAACTGGCCCAAGACATTGAGAAAATGTCTGATGAAGCTGCTGCTAATTTTGCATTCATGCAACTCAAAAAAATTCTTCCTGATGCTTCTGAACCGGTAAATTTGCTTTAAAATGTACCATTCATCAGATGCCTCTATAATTTGTCATTTATAGTCTCTCTCTCTCTCTCTCTCTCTCCCCATTTGGAAATTAGTTTTGCATTTTCTGATAAAAATCTATACATAGATGGTTAAGGTTGTCCTGTTTAGTACATTTTTATCATGGAGATCTTGTGTCTTGGTTCTGAAATCCACCGTCTTTGCCAGATTTATATGGTTTGATTGCTTAAAAAGAAGTTATAGAAGGGTTGCTTTCCCTGATATGCAAATTTCTGAAAGCTCCCCAGTATAGGGTCAAATTGTTCATGGAAGGAATTCCAAGGTTAGGAAACAGTGAAGGTTGCTAACAACCTGCCTTCTGTGTTCACTTGAGTCTTTGCAAACGTCTAGTATTCAGTATACTTAATTTTCTTCCTAGAGTACCTTTGCAAATATTTAATACCCCATCATGTGTTAATCAAACTGAATTTTCATCCTCCATTGCCACTATTAGTATTGAATGCCATTTAGGATAGTTCTAACATTCAAAACTTTGTTCTTGTGTGTTGCACAGATTCAATATCTTGTATCTCGCTGGGGAACGGATATCAACTCACTTGGAGCCTACAGCTATGATGCAGTAGGAAAATCTCATCATCTATATGAAAGGCTGAGGATCCCTGTGGACAATCTGTTCTTTGCCGGGGAAGCAACAAGTATGGCCTATCCAGGGTCGGTGCATGGAGCGTTCTCAACTGGACTAATGGCTGCTGAGGATTGCAGGATGCGTGTTCTGGAACGATATGGGAATCTGGATTTGTTCAACCCTGTCATGGGCGAAGAGATGGCATCTATGTCTGTCCCACTTCTAATCTCCCGCCTGTAACCATCCCTCCGTCCATCTATGGCTATGCTACCTGGGTACAGACTGACTGAAACAACGTAACCACCTGGTTTTATATGGGGGAAATCATCAATTTTCCCTTGGACTTTCCAACCTTTTGGTTATGTCTGTAAAGAACAGTCCCCCTGTGTTGCTTGCATGGTTTAGTAAGGTCTGGTTGTTGAACATAGCTATAATAGATAATGCATCTAGGTATGTGTAACTGAGTTAGCTCGAGATGAAGAGCCTAATAAGCGTCTAACTGCCAGAAAATTTGATTTCAAGGCAGGAAGAAAAATAGGTGCCCCACTTCACTAGTGGGGATAGTGTGTATTCTTTCATGTTTGGCAAGTGGACTGCAATGCAGAATTTAAATCAACAGGCGGTTTCTGTTTTGTTTGCTCTTCTCGTCTTGTTATGTAGAAATCAGATTAGACTTGGAATTCGGAGCCGTCATTATTCCCTTGGCATGATATTCCCCACCTCGGTTCTTTGAAGAAGTTGCGCCTCTATTATTATGAGGTTACATATGATGGCGTTAGCCTGCTGAAATTGCAAGATAGCGCAGGCTGTATAAAAGTGGTTCAGTACCAGCTACGATATTGAATTGGATCAGTCCAAAGTATTTCTCTCAATCGGTAATTGAGTTATATTGGACTGGGTCCAATTGAATATTGACAGCCCTATGTGAAAGGGTCTTGTAAGTAAGCAAGAAATATGCAGAATGGGCGATGTAGCTGGATCGGGTTTGGATGCTAAGGTATGGTCCAGCCCATCTGGTCTCATCCAGGGCCATTATGCTGGTTCTAATTTTATTACCATAAAAATTTTATACTGATGGCCTCTTTTTTTTGGATGTTGACAGGGGAAAAGTGGGATTTTGGTTCCCAATTGATACACCTATGTTCTTTTTTCAGATTCATGTGGGTAACTTTCTCACATGGGGAAGTTGTGAACACTTGGATGGGACAAAATTATCTTTTTTAATAATATTTTTTTATGACTAAAATAGTTATTTTCTTATTTATATAAGAAATAAAAGAACATGAATAAATACACTAAAAGTTAATAAACACTTACCGGGGTAAATGCATTTACCAGGATTAACTTCCTGAAAAGCCAATGGGGTCTGAGAAGTAGTAGTTTGAATTCTCTAGGATCTATCTCAACATAAAATGAGATAGCACGCTTGAACATCTAATAGTTAATAAACAAAAGAAATCTGAAGGTATCAACATAAGCTTTCTAAACAAAATATGAATTAAATTGTAGACACATGAGCAAGGCTCTGGAATCTGGACTTGACCCCTGTAAATTCCTCGAAGACGTCTCTTACAAGTTATAATCAACTATGGATTACAAGTGAAGATTAGAGTTGGGTCATTGATTTAAGAAGGGAAATTAAGAAATTTAGGAGAAGCTCAGCAGCTAGGGCAGAAAACAAACTACTTGACCCTAACAAATCACCAATGTTATAAAATGATATTATGGTATAAACCTGATGTGTGCTTTCAATTTCTACCAAAAAAGTATGCTGTCAATGAATCTCGTGTAGGAGACCTCATGAACAAGAAAATCAGCTTGATTCTCTAATTCTGACCATCTAAACAGATCAACCATTTACGGAAACTGTTGCATATATTAACAATTCAACTAGGATCAAAAGGTTAAGCAATTGAAATCCTTATTTGTGTAAAAAATAGAACCTTAAATCAATACCTTGGATTGACAAGTACACATACTCGTCTCAATTGTTGGTGCCATTAAAAGTAATGGTTTGTTTTATTTTACGAGGACTTAAGCACCAGAAAATTAATCAAACAATATTAGCTTGATTGTATGTCTCACTAACACTGGGGAGTAACTGGGGTAGGCTTTTTCTTATATGAACATAACCCCTGCACTAGATGTTCACTAATGCACATCATCAACCTTCATTGTCCATTGTGCCCACCACGTTCCCCAATAGTATCAAAGCATGTCCCATTTAAGTGAATAGATACCTTAAATGTATACTTGATGCTCCACCAAACTTTCATAATTTTCCTTCATTCTTTTCTTTTTGTTTTAACATATGCAATTATCTTATCATTCAATATTACCATAAAATTCTTTTCTTAAATAACCCTCAGCACATTAATTTACCTTTTCATCTTCTCCCTTATGCTTCTCCTTCTATTAGTGGATGACTGATTTACCATTTCTTAATGATTCAACTCAACCCTGTCCCAACTATATGGGGTCAGCCACATGACTCTTGTTCCATTATAAAATTATGTTCAATGTAATATCCATTCTTAAATTATGATCCCCTAAATCATTTCTTACTGATTCAATTCATGCCCATTTACATTTGCCCCTAGGCCTTCTAATTCCTTCAACTTGCAACAGATTGATTCTTCTTATTCTTATTGTGTTATAGATGATCTTATCCACACATGACTAAACCATCTTAATCTACTTTTCTTCATTTTATCATGTAACTAGTTTTTCGATTCATCCATTTCAACATCAACATTTTTGCACACTCATTTTTTTCATAAGTTTTGAGTTGTCCATCACATTCTTATATAGAACATAATTGGTCATATGGTCATTTCATAAATTATTTTTAGCCTAAGTGGCATTGCCCTAGCAAATAAGACTTCGGATGCACCCCTTCTATTTTCTCCACTCTAATTTTGTGCGAAAGCCTCCTTAATTTTCTCCTCGTTATGGATTGTCGAGCCTAGGTAATGCAAGAAATCACATGGAGGTATCTTTTGGTCACCAATCTTAAGTGTGCCTTAATTTTCTTTTTCAGCCCTACTTATTTCAATACCTGTGCATAAGCCTGATTTGCATTTAATCCTTCTATAATTTTATCAAATAATATTAATTATGTCATTAACAAACTACAAGAACCATGGGGACTTCCTGTTGAATGTATTTAGTTAAATCATCCATTTTTTTAAGCCCAATGGCTAATTCCATTTCATTCAACAAACTACTCAGGGTACATAACAGACTGTAGAAAGGAGGGAGTGACAGACCAATTAGTGACCTTAGAGAAACTAAGAGCAAATCTTGCCACCTTGTGGGCAGCACATTTACACTGTTTTCAGGAAAAAAGAAACCAAGTAGTAACCAAAGCCACATAAGAGACCCAAGCACTCAGACATCGCTGTGTTAATACATCACACTGCTTCTGTATCAAGCACCAACAAGAGCTGAACCACATAATTAAAGTGCGTCGCCTTTGAAATGGACCTTACTCAAACCCAACTCTATAGCAAAAAGAATGTTGTGGTTGAGAGATTGAGAGATTGAGAGCTTCAGCTTCAATGGGGGAGCAAATCTAAAGAGGGATTACTTGTACATAGATATACTTTCCATTATGATCTCTAAGTACCATGCCTGTCAGCAGCTTTGTTAGGGTTGATGGCCACATCTTTTGGGATCCTCTGCATGGGCCTAAATGTGAGAAAGAGGGGTCTAAGAGGGTTGATCTGGGGATTGAAGGACTACCTTACCATATGCATGGGCAGAAGCAAGAACATTTGATGGAGCAAAAGGCTTTTGTTAGAAATAAGATTCAAAGTATTAGAAATACAAGGTGTATCAAAAAGAAAATTTTAAGAGACATATTATCATATGCTTTAGATACATATGGATATGGATGAAAGATCAAGATACATATGAATACAATAGGAAAATCAAATAAATCTTAAAAAAATATATTAATGACAAAAACTTATATGATCATCATAAGTTATTTAGACATAAAAAAGAAAACCATAATGTAATGCTTTTATATAAAGTGTGAGACATCGAGACCCAATTGGTAACTATTGAAAAACGATAGAACTAAAATGTGTATATATATATACTTTAATTTTCAGAAAATCAATATAACCCACCTTAATACTTATTAATATATAAATTTCAGTAATCAATTTTAGCGTTTATTGACAAACATGCAATAAAAAGAGGAAATTTACTTAATTAAAATGCATATTATGATAATGAGAAAGAGTATGTAGGGATGCAAACAGATCAGGTCGGATTCGACATTGTTCATGTTGGATCCAAAGATTCGATCGGATCTGATAAGACTTGATTTGAATTCAAATCCTATCGGTAAGTAAGATTTTCGGATTTGATCCGATCCAACTTATTTTCTTTAAAAATATACCTTTTATGGTTTATGTCAATTGTTTTAATTAATAAAAAGATACCTTCTATGGTTGATCTTTTTGACATAAAATTAAATTGGTGTTTTGATATTCTTATTTCATGCCCTAAACATGGCTCAAATATTCCCTCTCAAAAGTTCAATGTATCTAACAATAAATATTACAACTTTGTATAATGCCTTTGTTCTTAACATAAGCAGCATTGTGCTCTTTTTCAATTATCATATATGTATATCAAAATCTGCTTAGTTTTCATTATCATATTTAATATATCAAAATTAGCCATAATAGGCTTACGTTTTCCAGCATTCTTAAACTGCTTTTGTGATCCATTCAATTAAAACTTTCTTCATTTCACTTACTCTGACTTACGAGGATGTACATATCATTTTTAATAATATAATATTAGAGTTATTAATCCCTCCTCCATTAGCACTCCCGACTCCTATGTGTATTTATAATAATTTTTAATATAGTTTTTTCTTTTCATTTTTTTATTTCTATCCTTTTCAAGATTCTTTGATTTCTTCTTTTAAGTATTTTACATGATTTAAATATTATTACTTCTCTCTCTCATCTTTACTAGTTTATAAATTCTATTTTCTCTTTTGTTACCTAGTTTAGATATTGTTCATCATATACCTTGGATTTAGCCTCATTGATTTTCTTTTTAAGTTCCTAGCTTTCTTGTGTTATTATATATATATATATATATATATATATATATATATATATATATATATATTCATTTTTTTTATATATTTTGTCTTTTGTCAACATTCAAAACATCTCCAGTTTGCTTTTATTATATTTTTGAACTTTTAATTGAATTTATGCTTCTTTTGCTGAACTTTTTATTGGTCCATGATGAAAATGATATAAGTAAGAATCTTTGTTTATTTCTCACTAATACTAAGTGTTGTGGCATGTATGGAATGAGGTTGGTGGCATTCATTCCACTTGACACTGTCCATATCACAATACAAACAAACACTTGCTCACATGGACCACATATTGGCAAAATGGTTTATGTTTGATGATTTCACATTTTCTTGCTTTTCAAAAGTCAGAAAATAATTTGTTTTAATTGATTTGTGTGGTATGAAAGAACTTTTAGATGGGTCTATTAATGATTGATCATATCCTTTGATCCTTCAACGATATAATTTATGTAAAATAACAAATTTTAATTTTTCTAATTCACATAAATAAAAATATTAAAAATAGAA